CCAGTTTCTCAATGCCTGGAGGCTCCAAGTCACAGTGATGCAATTCCGTAAAAAGGTATGCCTGGTAGCGAGGGAGAGAGGGAGAACCTCAGGGCTGCATGCTATCCTTGTGTGGATTCAGAGCTGCTTGCTAAACCTCAGAAATCCCGGATTTTTCCTACATCCGTGACCTGCAGATCAACAGGGTGGATTTAGGCCAAATGGATAGATAAATGTTAGGATCTGGAAAACAGCCCAGAGACTTGGCATTGTATGGGACCAGGAGGTTGAGAATAGGTGTGGCCAGTTATGACCCCACTGGTACCAAGGGAAAACAAAAAGACACTAGCCCCAAAAACCCCAAAGCAGCAGTGGTTTGAATATTTCAGTTAGTTAGGAAAACAGAACCTCATACTGGATCCTAGTTGACCTCGAGAAACTTCAAAGAAGTTATTAAACAAAGTAAAATTTGAGGTAAACATATTCATGTGGAAGTTTTCATGTTCATTGGTTTATGATTTCCTAGACGGGCTGTTGCGGGGGTGACCCATCCTCCCAGCTGCTCTGCTCTGTGAGAACAGGAGGGAAAGTGGTCCAAGGTTCCCTTTGGCTTCATCAGACTGGAGAAGGAAAAGAACTTTTGGGGAACTTCTTGCCATCTTTGATGCTTCCTTTGCCATCATTTTGACTGTATGTGAAATGCATTTCTATCTCAACAGTAACATGTCAGTAATTGCTCTTTTAAGGGGTGAATTTTCATCTTACCTCACACCCAGATTACAGTATTAGATACATTCCTACCTAGCAACAGCATCAAAAGGCTTATTAAAGCCAAGATATAACATATCTACTGCTTCTTTATCCAGCTTTAAGCCAGTTAACCTTCGGTGTATAAATAGATAGTGGAACTCCGCCACTAGAGTGATTAAGACAGACATTCAGGGGTAAAACAAGCAACTAGTTGGTTTACAAACTACCCCTATCCAGTAGTTATTGCTAATAAAGATTATAAAGAATATGACAACTTTTTGTTTAAGAGAGTTTTTTAAGTATTGTGCTAGTTTGTGGTGGTAGATTTATCCTCCTACATGTCTGTGGTTTTATTTTTGGGGTTTGTTTTCACCCCCTGAAGCTTCATGTGTTTGTGCCATCTGAGACCGATACTAGACTGGGCCACAGATCATGTATGGGGTGGTAATTCCTTTGTCTCCCATTTCTCATCATGTGAATGCTTTCATTTCTGACAGGGTTCTTGGAGCTTTTCTTGTCCTATCCTGCATGCCAGCGCTATCACAGTGTGTTTCTTTTCCTATGTAATTGAAATAACATAGCTAATTAAATGTAATTATCCCCAGTTAGAATGAATTAGTTACTATTGCTCTCATTGCATTGTTTTAAATGGAATTGAGTAAGACTGTCTGCTGTAAAGCCGTTTTCCTTTTAATGTGTTTCTGCTCGTTTAAAGAGTTGTCTGATCTCAATCACTTTCTGGCACAACCTGAGTGAAATGCAAGCATCGTTTGGTTCGTTTCTTACGCATTACTCATGGGGCTGGTCAGCAGCTGGGGGATGATAGTTAATAGCTTGGCTCTATGGGAATTTCTGCTGACACAAGTAAAGAAGAAACAGAGGAGGGGACTTAGCCAGGGAGAATAGGTAAGGCAGTATTTCATGTCCGCTTTCTCTTGAGTTTATGGCTGATAGAAGGAAGGCAGGATTGTTTCCTCTTGCCTGCCCCTCGCTCCGGGTGTGGTGCTAATACACCCACCTGATTTAATGGCTGGCTACGGGTGAAAGGGTCTTCTGCTCTTCCCCCTCTATTTACAGCCGTGCGTTCCTGCCCCCTGCCTTGGCAGCAGAGATGCTCATCGGGCCACTGTATTAGTAGCTAAGTTGGTAGAAAACTAACTATACAAAGAGAGGCATGTGGTCTTCTGCCTGTTTGGCTCTCCAAACTGGATCAGTTCACCTGAAGAAGTGGAGGGGAGTGGCTGAGGGAAAGGTTGGGGTCTCTGTTTTCCCCAGCAGCTGGCTGTCAATTAATTGGTTGAAGGGCACAACACTTCAGGCCGCATGGATAAACGCTCCTTTCTGTATATCGTACCTGTCACTGTACAGCAGAAGTATGTGGGGACAAGCTCTAAGGTAATGGGGGTTAAAGCAGGACAGATTATTTGTGACCTGAATCAGGTTCCCAATCCAGTGAGCTGTGCGTTTACAGGGGTGCTGTGCTGGCAGACCAAAGAGGTTACACAGGGTCGGTTTGTGGCCAGGGCTGGCCTCTTCTTGTCGAAGTGTTTACTCACTTGTGCTGGCTTAGTGGCCTCGAGGAAACAGAGAGGTAACCTCAGGATGAGTCCTCAGAGCTGGGCGAGGGCTGCATCCTTGGGTGAGCGGCATCCCTTCATTCCCAGGCTGCAGTGAAGGGAATTTGGATTGATGTTGTCAGGTTCGATTCTGTACAGGGACGTTTGGACCTGTAATGGCAACAGACCCTTAAAATACATCAGTCAGCTGTTACTCTGTTTCACCTTTGCTAAGGTACCACAAACAGCAAAAGCATTGGACTGGCAACCCTGAAGCAAGGTTGGTCTACAGTTATGATTTACAAAATAATCACAAAGACCTAACTATTTTGGATTAAATTCTAACCATACGGGGAATCCCGCTGTTTATGGTTTAGAGGTTTAACTCAAAGATTACTTTTTTAAATGGGATGCTGAAAATTATAAGAATTAACTGTATTTCCTCATGGAAAAGTTGTTTGTGTGATATTTTGTTTGTCAATTCTTTAATTGGTTGAAATCTGGCCGTTGTATACACATACTTGTGGGCAAGTTGATAAGCTGTGAGTTTCACAGCATTTCTTAGTGTTCAAATGTGTGGTGATGATAGGCCTACAAGGAAGTTGGAGGGGACTTTTTACAAGGGCCTGTACTGACAGGACAAGGGGTAACGAGTTTAAATTGAAAGAGGGCAGATTTAGATTGGATATCAGGAAGAAGTTCTTCCTGGAGAGGGTGGTGAGGCACTGGAACAGGTTGCCCAGAGAAGCTGTGGATGCCCCATCCCTGGAAGTGTTCAAGGCCAGGCTGGATGAGGCTTTGAGCAACCTGGTCTAGTGGAAGGTGTCCCTGCCCATGGCCGGGGGGGTGGAACTAGATGGTCTTTAAGGTCCCTCCCAACCCAAACCATTCCATGATTCTATGATTGCATTGTGTCATGCCTCACTAGTGTGCCACATTGATTGGGATACGGGGGAGAGGATATAAAATACAAATATCATGAAAACAATACATGGACATTCTCACTTAAGAGGATTCTTAAACGTGCTTAGCAATGTGCTTGGCTTCTCTTTTGCTGCTTTTGAAGCAAAGGAAATAAATTAATTGAACTAACTTTCATTGGTTTAACCTGAATTCAGACAGTTTGTTGACTGGTAGAACAGATCCTGTTTATATTGATTTCTGGTGATGACTGGTACAACGTAAGTGTTCTGAGGTGTTCTTTAATAGCCCTGTTGAGTGGATGCATGAAGGAGAGAAGAGGAATTTCTTGGGGATCCAGATCAATCACTGTCTGTGCGGAGACTGGTGGTAGTTCAAAGGCTTGTTCAAAAGAACAGAAATGGGTGAACTGGGCTTGCAGGACACTTACCAGAGCTAATACAGTGCACGAGTTCATAGTGCCAACAACTTCATTTTGTGTGGTTCTGTGTCTGATGCGTGAATGTGTAATTAGGAAGAGAACTCTGAGTTTTAGTTGAGAAGCAGCAGCTTCTGTTAATTTATTATGCTTTTGTTTCCTAACAGCTTTTCTTCTTCTTTGTCTGTATGTGGAAGAGGAATAAGATTCAATAGCAAAGGAATTCTAGACTGCACAAAGAGAAAAGGAGGCTCTCCTATTTTATATGCAAAAACCTATTAAAGAGACACCAAAGGGAATATTCAAGGAGTGCCTGTTTAGTGAATAGTAAAATGGGTAGAAAGGGTCAGACTTACATTGTAACGAGTATTATATCATTGTTTTTTTAAATCAGAGGTGCTCTACCAATATGCTGCAGCTGCATGCAGTTCTCTGGGATAATTCTTCAGCCCCAGCCTGGTCCTGGACATCCTCCCTTAACTCAGGGCAGCATCTGCATCAATATAATTGCTTTCATGGCAATCTTGACTATCCTCTTTCTACCTTTTTCTGTCTCTCTCTAGAGCTTTATAAGATTTTTCAGTGAACAGATGTTGTATCTTCTGCAAGCAACAAGCTGTGGGCGTCTGTGGGAAGTCGGACCTACGGACTGAACATTTGTCTGCAGTGGAACTAATACGCAGTCCTGGCGCCGCCAAGGCCAGGCCATACAGCTCTGTACATCTGTGGAAATAAGCTGTGTGTCCCACTGCAAGAAAAGTTGGGCAGTATTGATATAAGGCATTCAGCTGAAATTCAGAAGACGCAGATTCCAAACACCTGAAAATTTCTGGGGTTCTTTGGTAGACTGCATGATGTATGCATCTCATTTATTTGTCAGATACCTCCTTTTTCTATTCTTCATCTGTCGTCTTTATTTAGATGGTAAAACCATTATATTCTCTGTTGTCTGGATGACAGCTTGTATGATACAACTTTGATGTCAGCCTGTAAGCACTGTGGTAACGTAACTAGATAATCTGTGGTGAGAAATAATGGTATTAATATGCAAGCAGAGGAAAAATCCCAATCAAAATGAAATGTAATATCAATACAGCCAATGTTATCTACCCACATGTTGGGATAATTAGGTTTCTGTATGTTAGGTTAATTCTTTTGTGTTAATATCTGGAATTCTAAAGGATATCCTCATATAATGCCTAAAGGGTTCATGCTGAGAAAATTAGAGAGTAAGGTGGTTTTTTTTTCTTTTCTCAGTTTTATCAGTTGATTCTGTAAGTAAATATTTATTGTTTTGGCTGCCTTGATATAATTCTAGCTATCTACTTTATTTTTAAGGAAATGAGTGTTTAGTCATCTGACAATAGTGATACACAATGCCTGACCAGGACAAAAAGTTGAAGAGCACAGAAAAAGCAGCAGCCAAAAAGCCTCATGGGATCTCTATGAGGTATAGTATCTGACGTCTTGCTTTGTTTTTGGAATTTGCACTAGCTGCCAAAGCAGAATGCTTTAATTTGAAATGCAGTATAAACATGACAACTGTTACTCTGGTCACAAAGTTTATTTACACCTTTGTTGATTTAAAGCATTCTGGAGAAGCTATAAATTCTTCTCTGTGCAAAATGGGGACACTAGGCAACACCAGAAAACTATTTTCTGTCAATAGCATTGTTGCTCGTTGACCTTCTTTACTCTTTCCAAAGTACTTTTATGTAACTATTAACACATATTTTTATGCTATTGTGTTTTTTCCTAGGGATTATTCTGGTCTTAAAAGACTTCTTCAGTCTCTCTTAAATGTTCACTCAAGCAACGAACAGGTATTTTTCAGTAACTATTAAACATGCTGAAGAACTGTATAATTATAAGTAACGGTGATTATCGATTATGGCAGATAGTTAGGGTATAGTGTTCTGTTGTAATTAAGCATGTTAGCAAAATCTTGTGTAGTGCATACAGCGTCGCTTTTTGATCTTATTTTTTTTATTGTTACATAAAGTAAAGCAGCCTAACAGATTTGTTTTCTTCCATACCATTCCATGATGCCACGAGAAGGCAGGCTTAGAGATGTATTAGAGCATGATAAAGACTGGTTAAAAAATATAAAATGAAAAAAAATTGGCATCTTCACCATAAACAATTTTTCTTCGGAGAATAACACTTTAGATAAAAATCTTCAGGACATAAATATCAATGCATAGAACTTACAGGACGCAGTAGAATCTCCTTCACCTAGAGTCAGTTAGTGAAGCTTGTGATAGCCGTTTGAAGCAAAGAAAATCAACACGTGATGGTGGGTGTGAGTGTGTGGAATACCAGAACAATTTCTCCCTTTTTATTCTGTAAAAACATATGTCAAAATGACTTAGGGAATCATCCATGTGAGACAGCAGTTATGCGCTCCCTTCCTGGATAGAGGCATGGAATTGCATCTGAGCAGAAAGCTGAAACATCAGAGTTGTACAGCCTAACATGAATCTGAAGGCTGTGCAATGGTAGAAGTGTGTCACAGGTACTATTGAGCTTTACTGTGACAAATTTTAAAAGACACTGTTCTTCACGTTTTATAAGCCTTCATGTACTTGTTTTCCAGCCTTGTTACATCAGTTTTCTACCACCTCATTGTTTTTCGTGGGGTGTGTGTATGTTTTATAAGGGCAGATTATGGGTCCAAAGTTCAGGTCAGAACTTGAGCAAAGGTACTTTTGCTTGATAACATTCTTATAAAACTTAAAATGCAGTGTTTGACTCATGAGTCCTATCCCTTTACTCCTTAGCTTCCAGCTATGCATTTTGAAAGTGGTCAAACCAGTGTGACAGGAGTCAGAAGCAATGAACAAAAACCCCATGGCCAATGGCAAGAGTCAACAGAAGCTGTTGAGCTTGAAAACTTTAGGTAAAAAACAAACCAAAACAAAACCAAGAGAGTAATATGATGGCACTTTGATGTATCTCTGAACATCTTTGCCTAGCTGAAGTTTCTTGAGGTGTTGAAGGCATTTATATTTGTACCTCTGTTACTTGCACTTTCCTGTTAATCCAGTGTCCCAGATATGAATTATATGTTTTTAACTTTCTAAATCTAACCGTGAATGTTCTTGCCTTTGTACGTTGCAGGCACGTGCTCCCACTCAGCCGCGTACTGTTGGGAGTTACTGTAGTCCATTTGAATAAAGGGATCGTTTCCTTATTTGGAAAGCTTATACCATGCCGTTATAATAGTCCCAATTTATTCATGAAAAAGGCTGTTCTACCATGCTGTTAGTGTCTGGAAATCTGAAGTTGTGCTATTCCATTGCAACTGCTGATACGACATTTCTTAATTTTTCTTGCTAATGTTAAGTTTTGGTAATCTAAAATTATGTTGTGGCAAGATAATCAGCAATTTAGCATTTTTCCTTTTTATTTTTCTTATTAGTGTGACCTACATGAATGAGAGAAATTTTAGCAAACATCCCAATCATAAGCTGTTTCAAGAGATCTTTGCAGCGTTAGTTAAGAACAGACTTGCCTGCAGGTCAGTATATGGTACACATTCTTACCCAAGGAGGGTCACTCCTCCTTGCCTTAAGCGAAGAACCAAGAGGCACGGATAATGTTTCATATCGTTTCAACAATGTGTGTGACACACATGCTTCAACAATAGACCTCTGTGTGGAAACTACCAGCTTCACATCTCTGCATTATCTCTGTTTTAAACAATCATTTCTGTATTGGCTTTGAAGACTGAATGCTTGGGTTAGTGGGATGGAAAAAGGAAGGCCTGTGTATGTGACAAAATTTAGATGACCAAAACTCTAACATCTGCTATGTTTCCTTGATAATTCGTTCATATCTGGTATCTGTAGCCTATGCTTTGATTTTCTAATTTTATTTTTATTTTATTGATTTTACTTGTATTTTATGGACTGCTGCCTATTTATAGAAAGGTCAGTGGCTTTCATAAAATTCAGATGGGTTTATGCTACTGTTAATTTTTATTTGAATTTGTGTGTCTAACAGGATTAGAAAGGTAAAACCCTTTCTTACGCTGCTCTTGTTTGAATGAGAAATAAGTGGAAGACCTTAAAAAATAAGGGGAATAGATAAAGATACTTTCTCCAAAAAGAATGTGTTTTTCAGGATTTCTATTCCTATACACCACTGCAGTGTGTTGGTTTTTTTTTTTTTTTCCTTTTTAACGCCCAAGTACATTTTCTGAAAAAATCTGAAGTGGTACAGAATCTTAAATGAAGAATTCTAGAGCATTTAAAGGTGTTCATGTCTAACTGGTAGAATTTACTGAAGTACCTAAAAACCACCAAAAAAATTACATGCTTTGCTTAGACTCTTTTTCTGAAGTAAGAAGGACCTGATCTTTGATTGTCTAAATAACAGTGAGTTTAAAACGGGTCATTTAAGTGATTTGTAGGCCTGGTACCTCTTTATGATGTCAGTATCCACCAGTGGAATATCAGTGGCTCAGCTTCATTTGCCAAAAATCTAAGAATAACTTACATTGTGTCTTCCCAAGTTCTGTTTATACACTGTGCCATACCTAGCTCTTATTTTGTTTTTTGCTTTCTTCAGTACTTGTAGTTGATGATATAGCAAACCCAGCCTGTATTATACATTAAAGCACCCAGGTAAGGTTAGTGAAACGTGCACGTATTACGTTTTACGTTGTAAAACCCATAAGGTAAGTGCAGTTGCAAAGGTGATTAAGTTACCCTTTGTAAATATTTTACTATGGCTGTGATGTTGTCCCTTCTTCAGAACTACTGCCTTTGCATTGTGTCAGAGACTTAGAAACTGTCACCCTCCTCTGCATTACACACTTTTCCTGGCATAACTATGTTGGTTGGGGTGCAAGAAAATAATCACAGGCACCTACTGGCATGGCTGTGACAGCAGAAGTCCTGGTCGGAGGTAGTTCTGTTGGCAAGAAAGCTAAAGTAGTTAGGATAAGGAGTATAACTAAGCAGGCAGAAAAAAAATCCTGCTGGCATATGCTGGATATACACTAGGGAATCTAGAAACGTGTATTGCAAAATGTAACTATAGTAGAAGAGGCTCTCCGATGTTAACCAGGCTTAGAGAATTACTGTCCCTGCTTGGAAATGAGACAGATGCATTGCTCCATTGAAAAAACTGACTTCTATCAGGAGTCAAAGCGTTTTGAAAAGATGACTTTGTAGAACCACTGTGGTAATGACCTTCAGGTCACTTCAGAATCTGACCTACAGGTTTTGCCTACTGATATATGGTGGCTGTTTTCTTTCCGTGAAACTTTTGTGGCATTCTGAAGTGGCCAATTATGGAAGCATAATGAAAAATAGTATTACTTTGGGCAGAATATTGGCATGGAAGGGCTGAGATTTTGTTAGCATCTATTTGTAAAACATTTATTTTTGTCAAAATATTTTTAGCCGCTGGCATCTTTCCCAAATAATAAAAAAGGAAGAGAGCTGCCATGTCCAATAGACTACTTCTGTTCCTAGGAAACTTGCCCAGATAGTACAGATTCTGTCCTCTCGGTTAAAACAACAACAACAGCAACCACTGCTAAGATATCCAATTTTAGGTTTACTTAAGTTAAGGCTTATTAAATAGGGATATATACCTTCAAAAGACAGTGGCAATAGTGATTCCATTACTGGTATTTTATGCAGGATTACTGCCCCTGGATGCTTTGTGCAAACCTGAGTTGTGTTTTCTGCCAGGTCTTGTGCTGGGGAATTGTATGGAGAAATGTAAACGGGGAAGTTCTGAAAGGTAGATTAGGTTCGTTCAAAAAATTATTTCAAATCCAGTAAATTTTGCATCTGTAACATCCATTTATTTAAAGCTATTACTGTGTTTGAATATAAATTTTGCATCTGTAGCATCCATTTATTTAAAGCTATTACTGTGTTTGAATATAAATGGTGTTACGTTTTATAGTATATTATGTTGTACAGTTGTTGTATGTCACAATTTGACTCGTCAATTGCTTCCTGAATCAAAGTGTTTTATCTATGTGTTTTAACACTTCTTTTTAAAATTGCATTTTTTTGTTTTGAATATTTATTTTGCAGGGAGTGGGTTAATCAAGCTCGGTCCCTCCATTTTCTTAGAGTATTAATCTGCCTGAGATTATTCATGAGGGATCCATGCTATCAGGTTGGTATGTCAAAATGCTGTGTCTTGCTTGGATAAGGGAAGGCATATGAGTTGTGTTTGTGCATGCGTATAAGACATGCATTCTAATGGATGCATACTTATATGTATGTACCTGTATTTCTGTGGGGGAAGATGTGATTTGCAAACAAAGAGATTCCAAGAGTGAATTTACACTCTTACTGTCTAACTTGCTCAATTTCTGATATTTCTTCTGTGGCATCTTCTCATTGCTAACCCTAAAAAAGAACCTGTAAATCTCTGTAGCCGATGGCTAGACCCTGTACTCCACTTCCCCATATAGAATTTTTACACAAAATTCCCATAATGTGCTAAGTGGAGGAAACTGAAAGCTGCCTATTCCTCCTAGCAGCCCAGTGCTCTGAACTACGAACAAGTAGCTTTAAATTTTATTGACTGTTATAGTTGTTATTCATAGGACTAAGCCTCAGACATCTGTTAAGATATTTGTTATCATGTATTTCATTTCTATGGATTCCAAAGCTTACAGTGTTCTTCCAGCTTTAGAACCTTTAAAATTTCACTTCTGTGTTTTATTTATCTACTTATTAGAAGTAGTTCTGAACTGTGGACATGCTAAGCAACTCCAGAATCCACTGACTTGGACCACTGGAGTTAAGGTTTCTCGACATTCATAACAAACAGCAGTTATAGTCCAGTGTTTTCTGTATTTTGACTCAATTTTTTAAATTGCTTTTTGTTTTCTTTTAGGAAATGCTGCACAGCTTGGGTGGGATTGAAAATCTAGCTCAGGTAGATTTCCACATAGTACCTTTGTTCATTATGTTCCATGCCAGTTTGTTACGTTTAGAATGAAATACACCATTAAAAGCAGCGTGCACATATTCTTGGTTTCTGGAAAGAAGTGAGCCTATTCCTCTGTTTGAACAGAAGCAGTTGGTGTGGTTTGTTGGTGGTGTTTTCTTTTTCAGTAGTGCACAGAGCAGCTCTCCTTGTAATCCAGCAGCGTTTAACCCAGGACTTCACTTAAGGAGGCTTAACAACTGTCTCCTAAAGTGGGAGAAGGATTAGAAAAGTCATCACAGTCAAAAGAAACTGTCAGCTTTTGAAGGCAGATGAGTAAAGTCACCTTGACCTGTAGCAAGTGACTTTTCAAAAGTAAAAGTGTAGTGATAGAATGTTGAACAGGTTTAAATTTGAGGACTAAAGTACTTTTGCATTAGAAAACATGATGGATAACTGACTGCTGTATTGCTATTGCTCTGTCTTAACCCTGGAAAAGTGTGTTTGACCCCAGCTTGCAAAGAAGGCAATTTCGGCCCTAGAAGTAGGGTCGTTGTATTTGACAGTCTTCAGTGGCTTTTCCTCTTGTGGAATCTTACCCTTGCTTTTTGAATTCTTACATTTCCAAGATCTCTTCTGTTCCCTGACAAGTTTTACAGCAGGAGTATGTGGGATGTTGCAGACTTATCTTTTTCGTGAAACAGGTGCACCACCTACAGACTATTTCTGTGCATAACACTCTAGGTTTATGAATTCTTAAAACTTCATTTTTGATGGTATCCTTTATTTCTTTTCCCCCTACGTGTAGCATATGGAAACGGTAGCAAATGGCTATGTTGATTATGGAGAAGAGTGCCATAATGTAGACAAGCTGGTCAACATGACATGTAAGTGTTACAGATGATAGCATAAATTATAAGGGCACTTACAACTTCGTATGAGGCTTAAGATGTTTAAAATGCTTGAGATGGCCATTAGGTAAGATGTTACTAGATGCATTGTAGGCATCATCACACAAGTGAAAACTGAAATCGCTGTGGAGAAGCACATCTTGGGTTTGTGCAAAAGTAATATTTGCTTAAGAAATTAATACTTCTTTATGCACTGAAATAACAGAGTAAAATGAGCTAGTCATGGTTCCAAGAACTCATCTATTGTTTTACTTTATTACCTGGTTAGTAGCATGAAACATATTAAGTGGTAAATCTTCAGTATATGTGTTGTCCTTTGTTCTATAGACATTTTCCAAAAGCTTGCTGCTGTTAAAGATCAAAGAGAATGGGTTATAGCAAGTGGAGCACATAAAGTAAGTGCTTTGTATAATCACTAATTATAATCAATTTGCTACTTAACCGAATGACTTATGCTTTTCAGGTTTATCTAGGTGGGAGTAAATGCCTTACCTTGTCAAGTTTGTAAAGTAAGATAACCTTGGATCTGTGTTTTACAGACGTATTAGTAGTATCATAAACATTATTTCTTGTATGTAAGTTACTTGTTTGAGAGAAATGGGTCTTAAAAGTTTGGACTAAACTTGTTAATATAAAAATTAGTACTCGTGTTTACACTGTCCTGACCTATACGTTACTATGATATAAATTGTTTTATATAATTTGAGTATAATTATGTTTTTGTTTATATGATTTTTCACTTATAAACTACTCTGTGTCTAAATAGAGCAGTGTCAACCTAGACAGTGAGAACCTAGACATCCCTTGATATATGTTACCCTTGCTAATATTTTATTATCTATACTTAACCATGGTTGATTTGTGCCCAAATTGAGAAAGGGTAGAGAGCAAGATCAGTATAACTCGCGCTTCATGATTCTATTATGCGGCAGTAAAGCATTGCCAGTTGTGATCACATAGTATGAGAAAACATATTTTTAGAGAAGCTAGAGGAATATGAAATTTACTTTGATATAAATAATTATCAGAATATATGCAGGGCCTTAAATTGCATACGGGATTGTTTAAATATAAGCTGAAAATTAACTTTTTTTGCTTCAGGAGGCCTTTATTTAGAGTTCTGAAATATTTTACGCAGGAAAAAATTTTTACAACGATATGTTGTTGGACAGATGCTTTAGCTGTCAAGAGAGATGCTAATTGCAGTTTGAGAAGAAGCATCCTTGCTTGCCCTAAGACTGGGTGTATTCTAAGACGTTAATCTTATATTTAAGCGTACTAAAATGTACTTTGAAGACTTTTAGTGTGTTGTGTAAAGGTTTGGTATCTTCATTTTGACTTTTCAGTAAATAACTCTATATGTGTTTGAGTCATAAAACAATATAATTTCTATATATTTATCTTGTCAAATGTTTTATTTTTCAGACCTTAGTAAATTTGTTGTCTGCCAAAGACACCAATGTGCTTTTGGGTGCCCTCCTTGCTCTGACTAGCCTAGCCGAAAGGTAGGTTCAACTTAATGTGCTGTAGTTCACAATAAGCATTGTAATGTTATCTCTTGACACAGTATTAAAACTGCTGTTTATGTGGTGTGGTTTTTTTTTTTTTTTCCAAATGAGGCTTTGTTCTGTGGAGGCCTGTGACGTGTGCTTAATTTTATATTGAAATAGTAGGAAGCGAGTGGAAATTTTGGTCCTTTCAGCAGTCTTCTCGCTCATGTGGAGAACTTTGAGACTGGAGTCACAGAATCTCTCTTTGCAATCCCTATGCAGGATTCTCTAAGCCTTACTGACTTCCTGCATATAAAAATGTTTTATGCTGAGCCTAATATAACAGTACCTCATGATAACCAGCAAGAATATTGTTCAGTGTAGTAAAATAATGAATGCATATGCTCAAATCCATGTATGTGTATCCTCTTTTCAGTAATGGCTGTTGTAAATAAAGATTTTTTTCTTCCTGGTGTGGAGGGAAAAAAGGAAAAGGAAGATACAGCATCTTTCGTTCTCAATAGCTTTATAGAAGAAAAGCTGCTGCTTCTACATTGTTGTTCTGCGGACTTTCAGACTTGTGTAACAATTTCATCTTTAAAATGAAAAATTATAAGGAAAATTACAAAACTGTAGAGAATCAATATAATTCCTGGAGATCAGTAGAAGTTTATTTACTGAGATATCTCTGGATTTTCTCTTTTCCCATGTTTTTTTCATTCTATCTAAATTTTTTTAATGTCAGTATTAATTTAAATGATATTATGCATATATTTTCAACTTCTATTTCACTTTCTTCGCAGAATTAAATGTGTTACATTTGGTCTGGGCAAGAAAGTGCTTAGAGTATATTACAAATATTTATGGAAATTGTATTTGATTCTAAAAATGTACCACATTTACTCAATTTCTAATATGAAACAAATAAAATACATTTGCATCTTTACTTATATACATTCACATTTACTTTTTTTTATACTAGGAAAATTGGAAATTTTTGCAGTGTCACTCTTGATCCAGCATATTTTTGTGGCTTTAAATATTTGTATGCACTATATGATATTATTACTTAAGACTTGAGAAAAAAATAATTGGTCAAATGTATAAGGAGGGAGGCTAAAGAGCAATGTGGTTTTTCTCGTATAATTTAATTTGATATAAATGCTAGGAATAATCAATTTGTAGTCCAGAATGTAGGGTGAAGATAAGTGAGCTCACCATTGTTGAGAACTTGCTGGTGATATTACATGAATACGATTTGCTTTCTAAAAGGTGAGACTTCCCTTGTAGAGTAATGGTGTTAAAATATGTTTTGACTTTTATATTTAGGGACATGTTTATTTAGAGGAATTAATGTGCCGCTTTAATATAATGAAGGTAAACTTTAATACCTACGTATTTTCAGTTAGATATTGATATAGCAAAATCTTTCCCAGTAGTTTTGTTATAAGCTGTCTCTCTCTCCGCTGATAGCCTACAGTGTGGTGCAAATAATTCCAGTGTTCCCATAAAGTAATAGCAATCACTTTTCTTGGTGCATCTCCTCGTTGCTCCTGGCAGACCTGAGTGGTGAGATAGAAAGCAAGCTGAACTCTGACAGTTCCTGGGGTGCCCAATATAAACTAGAAAAAATTGGCAAGAAATACAACTGCTGTAGTTCATGACAGAGGCTGGGTCAGACCCTATATCCCTTCAGTCAGAAGACCACAAAGGTTCCTTCAGTTCTTGAAATGTCATTTCATCTCGGCTGAGCCTACTAGCTGAGCATAGTATATCTGCATTTCAGTAAGAAACCAAAATTTGATGATATGTCAGTTATTTAAAATTCTGAAGAGACTTAAAAAATTTCATACTTAATTATTTCACACATGTAAATTGTTTTACATGTGACTAAAGATAAGATATTGAGTATGGTAAAAGATTTTATTTACATTCTGGGTTTGAAATGATTGAGATTATATGTAAACCAGAAGTTTTTTTATAAAAACTAGAATTTGAATGTAGACGGGAAGCTGATGAAGTTCGATGCTAGTTAAGAATAACTTGAAGTTCCCATATGAATCTGGCTTATATGTTTCATCAAACGCATGCAGGTTTTTTGCTTCAAGTAGAAATTCCTAACCATCTGGACTCTGGAAAGTCCAACTTATTTGGAGTTAATGAAAATCTTGTATAAACCTTTTAAATGATATATCAAATCCCTTTTGTAAAATAATATTGAAACGATGCTGGAGGAGAATCACTATTATTTGTGGAGTTATTCTAATTCCACAGATGGACTTCACAAATTCATGCAGTCAGTGCTACTTGTAATACTAATGCCATTAACAATGAGGTGGTACCACGGATGGCTGCAGTCCCCTTGGCTACCTCCATCCTGGCTGTCTATGCTTACCTGCCTATGCTGACAGTCAAAATCAGTGTAAATATAATTTCATCCTTTGTGAAAATTTGGACTACCTTCTTTTTCTTTTTTTCTTTCTTTTTTTTTTAAACAGTGACTTTAAGCAGTTTTCTTCAACTTCTTTTTTTATAGGAGATTCTCTTCTTTCTTAAATGTTTGCTGTGGGGTTTTTTTTCCCCTTTGCTAACTGCCAATATAAAGTCATAGTGGAGTTATTGCTAAAATTTCTTACTGGTATTTTTTAGGCTCACAGCAGAGTTACTACGTCTCCTCTGTGCAGAGTCACAGGTCAAAGAGCAAGTAAAAATGTATGAAGGAGTTCCAGTCTTGCTCGGTTTACTCCATTCTGATCATATCAAACTTCTATGGAGTATAGTTTGGATACTGGTACAGGTTTGTGAAGACCCTGAGACTAGTGTGGAAATCCGAATTTGGGGTGGAATCAAGCAGCTCCTTCATATATTACAGGGGTAGGTTTTCAGTCCTCAACACTGTGACAAAATTATGAGATTGTTTCATACTTAGAGATGTATTTGTACAAGCCCTGTTTTATCAAATAGCATCTTTCTTTTGTTCACCTGTATGTGATGTCTGCTGAGGTTAAAAGGCTTTTTAGGACTTAATGAAGAAGCAGTATTTTTTTTTTCAGCCATGCATATTTCATTGTTATTTTAAGGTGGTTTTCATATTTTCAGTGTATAAAGTAAATAATGAATAGATTATAAATATGTTTACTTGGTTCATTACTGTCTACTTCGTTTCCCTATTAATCAGATACCTATTTAGTGAGCTAGAATTGTGACTGTAATTGATGAATGTGGTAAATGAGTTTTCTATTTAAAGGCTTGTTTGCTTTTTCAAAGTGTATTGGCTAATTTAGTGAAAAACATACAAATATTCAGAACTTCAGAAATGGTTAACAAAGATATATCTGTTCAGCCATTGTTTTTAACACTGCAATTTGATTTTTTTTTTTTTAATTTTTTCCAGGGAAAGAAATCTTGTTTCTGATCGCTCTTCAGTTGGAAGTTTATCCAGTGCAAACGCAGCAGGGAGGATCCAACATCTTCATTTGTCAGATGATTTGAGTCCTGATGAGATGGAAGAAAATACTTTTTCCCTTCAAGCAGGTAGGTTTATAAGGCTTAATCCTCTCTTAACTGTTTCCTTCCACTTGCACAAAGGGATTAAAAATATTTCAAAACTGAAATTGTAAACATTTATACCTGCTTTAGGGAGTGGGAGCACCAAGTCAGGTGTGTATATTTCTAAATGTACAATACCAGCATATATTTTCAAAAACCACTCTTTTTTGAAAAGAACCAAAGGGTAAAGTATTAAGTACATGGGAATCATATATATTTTTTTCACTTGTAAGAATATCTCAAACACATATGTATTTTATTCTAATTTTGTTTTTAGCCTGAGATTATTTGATCATATTTTTCCTTCTATTCAAATTTACTATGGTAGATCAATCATGAATTGATTGTGATGGAACGCTTTCCAAGTAGTGTTTTAAAGACTAGCAGTCAGGTGAGGATTCCTCGGTACTTATGGAGACAATCCCTTTCAGAGATTTCTCAATAGCACATCAACTCTCTGTCCTGAAATGTCTTCTGGAGGATCATATCTTTTTCCAGTGAATATAGAAGGAAAATGCAAAATATCCTTACTAGTATTACATGAACCTTTGCAGCATCTTCCTGAAAGCTGTAACATAATACGTGTTTTTCAACACCTGATCATGAATGCTACCTCTGAAGAGCTGGTAATATGAAATAATTGCAGTACCAAAAGTATTTCCAGCATGGGGAATATTTAGAGTTTACTTCTTTCTCTAAGGACTCCTAAGAAATACTAAGCAGTAAACTTAGAGAGGTCTGGTTTAGTTCTGAACGAGTATTTGTTTGTATGTTTAGCCTTCTGCATTGGGTGTAGGTGGCAAGGTTTTGTCAGCAGGGGTCTGCAGGGGTTGCCTCTGTGGGAAGAGGTAAGGGATTGTCCTGGACTGGACACAGCTGGTTCCAGCTGGCTCCACAACAGAATCCATCAGCGAAGCTAGGGGTGCATATGTGAAAACATAGTTAAGAAAAGGTAAAACCACTGGGTGAGCAGAGGAGTAGAGGTGGATGGGGGGAAGAAAAAAAAGGAGTGAGAAACTGCACTGCAAATGCCAAGGTCAGAGAAGGAGGGGCAGGAGGTGCTTCAGGCACCTGACCAGAGATTCCCCTGCAGCCCATGTGAGGGTCCTTGCTGGAGCAGGTATTCACGTTGCAGTGTGTGGAGAGGACCCACGCTGAAGCAGGGGGAGCATGTGAAGAGAAAGGAGCAGCAGAGTAGAACTGCTGCGTCCTGACTTGTAACCCTTATCCACCAGAGCCAGGTAGAGGAGTCGGGAGTAAAGGAGTAAAGATGAGTTGGGGGGTGGGGGAGAAGGTGGGGTTTTAATTTTCTTGTCTTTATTTTTTGCTATCAAAATCTATTTTAATTGGCAATAAGTTAAATTAATTTTCCCTGAGTCAAGTCTGTTTCCCCTGTGTAAGCAATCTCCCTGTCTTTATCTTACTCATGAGCTTTTCCATCCTGTTTTCTCCCTCTGTCCTGTTAAGGAGAGGAAGAAAATGAGCAGCTGGATGGGCATTTGGCCCTTAGCTAAGGTTAACCCACCACACTATCTGAATATCTTTATGAATCTGGACCTAAATGTTGCATCTGAACTTTTCTTCTAGCTTGTTGTGCTGCAATTACTGAACTGGTGCTCAATGAGACTAATGCTTACCAGGTTGTACAGGTAGGAAGACTTTACTCTTTTAAGTAAGGCACTATAGTTTATAATTTGACTTAATTGTTCTTTGTCGCCATCATTTAATTAACAAACAAAATGCATTTGAAAGGGATTGGAAGATATACCTTTCTGTAAGTTTGGTATCTCTGTTTCTTTGTAAATTTATACACAGAGGCATAGACACCAATGTATCAACATGTGTTACCTGGTTGTCTAGGAAAATAGCTTTATGCAGACAAAGTTCATTTTGGTTGTCATCTCTTGCCATGCTTTTGCCATATTCAAAATAGTATACTAAGGAAGAGTAATCACAGAATTAACCGAGAAATAAAAATTCTGACTATCACAAAGTTTGTTAACACGTGCTCTATGCAGCTTAATATTGGTGCGCTGTTCTTTCACAATTGGCGCTTTCCTCAGAGTTTGGCATTTCTGAGATAACCTCCTGGCATCCATCCCCAGGGCTGTGTTTCTAAACTGCATTTTAAAATGTAATATTTAAATCAGCTGGTATCTATGATTCTGAAAACTATCTGTAAAATCTCTGGTGTGTGTTCCAGACATAGTCAAAGACACAAATATTTAGTACAATAATACCAGCTAAAAGCTGTAGTCAGCTCTTACACTCTAAGTGTTAATTCAGTGATCAAAGCCTTCAGGTTAGCTTAAAACCCAACCAGAGGTTTTCCTAGTGGAATTGAGAGAACAAAGAGCCTTAAATATGACCGGGAAAGAAGTTTATGTATATTTCAAAACTATTTGTTGAGAGGAAAGGAATGGAAGTAAGTCTAGAAAAAATTATTTTCCATGTATCTTAAGCACTAAAACATCAACAAACCATGCTGATTTAGACAACTTTTTATCTGAACAATAGGACTGCATACGTCTTTGGCTGAGTCTGGTTTCATCAAAATAAAATATCATGTATTCAAATTCAATATATTTTGTAAACAGTGTAACTCCTGGAGGGCTTGGGAGATAGAAGGCTGATCTTAACACAGAGTTTTTCTGCATTGCCCTAGCACTGCATGGTAACCGTGGTGTCAGTAAATTGCTTAAAAATTGATGGGATGATGTGCAGGCTGGGAAAAGATGTTTCAAGCTTAACTTCTTCCCCCACTCATCCTGTTAAGATGATGACCTCTCCCTTTGTCAAAACAGCAGCCAATGACCCTTTTCAGTTCAGGACATAGCTTCAAGCATGCTCACTTCAACTGGGGTTCCACTCTACAACAGCCTCTTCCATTTTGAAGCCTGCTTCTTTCTCGGTGCTGATATAGCTTTGAGAGTAGCATGGTGAACAAGATGAAGGAACTCAAGTTAAAAACAGAGGAAGAAGATTTGCAGCACTTTCACTTATGTGCTGAGAATGTCAATCTAAGTGTTCTCTACAGGTTTATCTCATTCAGTGGCAAAGGACTCTTGGTTCAGGTAGTTGAGAACCATTTACTTCTGTTGTAGCTGCCCTCTACCTATCCATCCAAATTACAGCCTCGGTAGCAGTCTGCAGCAGTTCTGATAGCGGAACAGCACGTGTTTAATACTTGGTGGCTCTACCGCACAGCCTAAAACCTTAGCTGAACTCTGCCTTCATGAACAGTTTAAGAAAACCTGTCAGGAACTGCAGCAGTGTCTCCGCAGAGCTGACGCATGTTCCCTTCAGCTCTGCTAGGGAGGAGAGCAGTCCCCAACAGCGAGTAACAGAGCAGTACTGTGACTAAAAATACCATTGCTTGTCTATCAAACCAACACGCTGGATACATCAGTGGAGGACACATGGTTACATGAAAATGTAAACCGAAATACAGTATGGTTTTCACAAAATCCTCCTGAAAGCACAGACATACTCCTCGGGCTATCACTTCTGGCCTTTCTCCTGTTTATAGTTATTGTGACTGGATTTTTGGTTCTTGAGAATTCAAAACATTCACATGGTGACAAGAATATTTGCTATTGCTGCAGTTGCTTTCCCCTCTAGAGACAGAGCATTACTACATTATCTATTGTCAAGCTCTCTTTGTGGTATCAGTTTAAATGTAACAATGACTTAATTCTTACATACATTTAAATTAGGTCAGCTTATAGTTGAGATGTGCAATAAGATGTTTAGAACTTGCCAATTGGTATTAGCCTCTGACTTATCTGAAGTAAATCTGGTATTTTTTTGTGGTTTCTATGCAAAGGAGTGCTGTTAATATTGACCTTTCTCTGCTTCCAGGCAAATGGAATATATACAATAGCAAAGCTGATTTTACCAGACAAAGGAAGGAATGCTGAAAAAGGGAATTTATTACAGGTAACTCGCTTTATTATCATTGCACATTGAAAGCTCCTAGTAGTCTCTGAGAATTTTGTTATGATTTTAAATTATATTTTCAAGTGCAGTAAAAAGAATTTACTAAAAGGAGGGGAAAAAACCTTACCAAAATAAAATCATCAAGTGGCCCAGGAAGTAAAAGTTAAATAATGACTCAATTTCTGGTGTTCTGTTTTGGTCTACTTTGTTTCTGGCACCTCATATAGTGTAAAAGAAAGTGAATATTTTTCTTGTGTTAATCTTTCCTTTGCTTTTTCAGGCTGCCCAGTGTCAGATCTTCTTTTCAGTGCCTTGGTCTGCATTGAAACTCACTATAGATTTGACGCCTTGATATCTCTATTGATAACAGTATTGATATCTGTTTCTTTCTGGAGCGTCTTACTTTGGCTGTTGAATACAATACAGGAAAACATCACACGAAGCAGAGCAAATTTAAATGTAGGATAAATATAGTGCTAATAAGCATACAATGGCTCTTGGTTTTACATGTAAATACCCTCATAAATGTACTGGGCTGAAAGTTAGCTGTAGTAGTTAATTCTCTGGTAGCTCTTTTCCAACCTCTGGGAAATGGTGTTGGTGTGTCTCTAAGCTATAGGAGAGCGGTGGTCTGGGGTTCAGGGGTAAGCAAAACTGCTGCTGCTCCTGTTGCCCTTTTGTGGTCAAATGTGAGGAGATCCTTAGCACAGGTGAATGCAGTCAGGATCCTGCCTCGCACCTGGTCTTTCTTCTGGCATAGCCCTGCACTAACATGGCTACTAGACTATCTAATCAGGTAGACAAGCCTTGATAGTGAGGGAAGGCATTTCCACGCACAACAAAAAATTAATTGTAATGTCTTCTTTCTCGCCGCAGTTCTAAATTAGGCATGGAGTGCAGATTTGGTGCACTTCCTCCTGCAACACGGTTTTATAGTGTCCTTTAGTTAAATCAGGTTAAGTGTGAGATAAATAAAATTTTTCCTAGAGGGTATATGGGAATAACGTGGAGTCTAATAAACTGGAGCATATGCTCAGTACAGTTGCCTCATACAACTGTAAGAAGCTTAATTTATGCCCACTGAGTTATTTAGATTCCAGCAGAGGGTGATAGATAATAACTCACAAGAGCGACTAAGCAACTGTAGTTGGATTACACTTGAAGCCATGTGAATTAATAATGGACTTAATACATCACATATGAAAACTAAATTTGTTTCAGGCAAAGAACAAGATTTTTTCTTTTAATGAAACCTTGTTCAGACTCTTACACTGCTATCCATTGCCTTTATTATTGCTACTGTTACACAATACAGCTGCAGCTATTGGAACAACCTATTTGAATTTCATAGGCATTTTTCATATAATTCTTGCAATGCTGTCTGGTTTCTTTACTGCTCCATCATCTGTGTTTTCAACGATTAAATTTTCAGTTTCTTCCTACCAAACTACCTCAGTGATCTTACTCTGTTACTTCAAGGGTGGCAGTGATAACAGTCATTTATTCTGCATACGTATCATATAAAAATCCTGCCTTAACTGAAGCGTGTCACAAATATTAAATACTAATCTCAAAATACTAGCTTGAGAAAGACAGATATTGTCACTTAAAATACCTGTTTATCTCATTATTAATCTGTTATCATGTCCCTTCACTAATGGGAGCTCTACCATGAGGTTTACATGTAGTCTGTAAAATGAAAAACTCAAGGTAGCAGATACGGCCCAGCTGGTCTGGGTTATTTTGTACAGCTAAGTTGTGACTGTAATTCTCAGAGGAATGTTAGACATCCTAACACACTATCCTTCTCCCGTGATTGGGAGTTTACTTTGGACTAAAAAGAAACATTGTCTGTAAAAGAAGCAGCTTCTTACCAGCATTAACGTACGTTCCTCCTCTGTAAAAATTAAGTATCCTGTTTCCTTTACAACTAGCATTTGGCCTTTATTTTCTTCATTTAATGCATTTTCTATATATAGGAAGATCTATTTTTAACATGGGGATTAATTCTGCAATTATCACATAAGACAGTTACCATTGTCTAAATAGGGATAATCACACTGGACTGTAGTAGTGCTTTAGTCACTGATGCAATAAAGTGTTTCTAAATTATGTTAAAGGCATTACTATTTGCATTGTTTCACATATCAATACCTTGTTTCTCTTTGGCTTACTTCATACATTCATCTTTGGTCAGTCATATATGTGCCATATTATTGACTCTTGATAAATGGAATTAAAGATGACTTGCATAAAAGCATACATATTAACTACTTGACAGTGGCTTTTTTAAAGATAAACTTTCTTCAGTAGAGATGAAATTGAAACTAAGGTACATAAATATAGAAACAGAGGTACATAAAGATCTCTGTAAATATGATGAACTTAGTATTGCCTAAGTTCCTGTCAAACAAACCTGATCACCT